TATGTCATGCTAAATCGTGCATGATGATTGGATACAATTGTGTACTCTCACGCCCTAGATAGTCGCGTGAATTTACTTGTAAATTTTTGAAACATCAAGTAAAATTTGTGTAGTTCTATCGAGATGTTCATATATGAATCATGGCATTAATCCATTATAATGTTATGTGATGATATTCTAAGGGTTAAACCATTTTACTGAGATAGACTTTCTTCAAAGTATATAGTGTGTATCTTTGTCTGCATCTTGCTTTGTAAGAGATTCGGTAGAAGAGAGAGATAAGGCTTTAAAATTACAGAACATGACTTCTTAGTACCTACTTCGAAATGGCAATGGTACCTCTATTGCCATTCGGGAGTAGGTACGGTGCCACAGGCTTCACATGATGACGGATGTCCGTCGTGCTGTTCATATATTTAGGCGACGGTTACCACTTACCATCTGGTAGATAGGTAGGCGACAGCTTGTTTGACATATTCTAACGACAAAAGTATTATAATACGACCATACGATAGATAATTTTCAAGTAAACTACTAGGATAGCAGAACCATGTAAGAGGTTATATTTTGGGCGCAGGTAAAAATAAAGTCAAATGAAAAATTGTTCACAACGTTTTATTGCACCGTGTAACATTTGTATAACGTTTAGTTATCAAGACTACATTAAAATACAGTGAAGACACCACACTGCAAATGTACACTTTTGGCCACGTCAACTTACCAACCATTACAAAATTTAACTTAACCAATCATTCACAAATATCGTCATTATAAAACATTCGTTTTAATTTTCAAATAACAATTCATCAACTCTCGATGAAATTACTTAAACATTTGTCAAATGGATAGTTATTGATAAATAAATAAAAAATGAAGAGCGTCTTTTAACTAATTACTGTACAAGCTCTTTTATAAGCGTTTTGCTAAAAATTAAACAAAAACTATGAATTTTCTCTCAATATTCTATAAACTCAAATATATAAATACGACATAAACTACAACAATAACAATTCATTAGGGGCCATCCATAAATGACGTCACATGTTGATGTGACGAAGTATGACATAGTGTGACAAGGATGACAGGATTACATATTTTATTAACTCATTATATTAATTTAAATAAAATTATATTAATATAAATAAATAATTGTTTAATTTATTATTTTCTGTAAGTATAATTTTAAAAAGTGTAACGTCATGTTAAAAGAGGAATATTAAAAGTATGACCAAGTGTGACAAAGACAACGGGAGAGTAAAACAATATGATATTAGTGTTACATAATTTATGAATGGCCCTAAATTTATCAATAATTGAATACATACTAATATCATGTAGCGTTACATTTCTATGACCATGGAAATAGACTACTTAAGTATCCTATTTGGTAAAGAGCAATATAGAGTTAACAGTGTGTATGTATCGTAGCACTTAATAAATCCCTGTTGACACGCTACTAAATGGGATCAAACTGCGCGCTGGTTAAGCTAAGCTGCAAATACGAGTCAACAGCTCGAGACTGGATTAGATAGAGCTTTAAAGACAGTTTAATAATTTATACTGTATTCATATTACTTCTAATATATTATAATACAAAATGAAATTGTCATTGATGATAATGATAATGAAAGACACGACCCGAAAGGATTCCAATTAGTCAGTCGTATTTATCTGTACCTCTGTCCCACCTATTTCTGTCGCCAGTTTTTTTTTATTGGGGGTTTTGGGCTATGGTCAGGAGCCTACAATACCTGTAAGGATCTGTAGTAGGTACTTGCCTTTTTCAAAGTTCGCTACCTAGACCCGTCAGGAATAAGCATTGAAGAATATTCTTAGGACCGATGGTTTTTATCTCCTCAGGATAGAGTGTATACTTTCCAATGGAAATATTTCGTTTATGTATGAATGGGTTACAACCACATATGATGTGTAGTCACTGACTGTTGCAATGTTTCGTTTGAAGGGTAAGATATGTCAGTGAAATTATATGGTACAGAGGCATGATTCCTGTTCATTCCTATAGGCCACGAAGGCCATGATTTATCAGGTGAGCCGTCAAGTCGTTTGCCATTGCTTTTTACATTAAAAAAATATAGTTAAATTAAAATTACTATTCTGTAAGATAGGACAATATATTCTATTTTTTCAATTTTGCTTTAGCTTTGGTTTCTAAACCTACAATTATTAATAGTTTATTTTTGATTGAATCTATACAGTGTTATTTAGACTTTGTCGAAGATTTATTTTAAATGTATATTTGGAATTTAGCACTTTTAAATAAATCCATTCGACAATCTTTTGTATTGTTATTTATAATGTAATCTTATAATATATATAGCTTTATGGACGCTTTATTTGAAATAATTTATATTTGTATTTTGTATTTACATTTCTATAATATTTGAGTTTGGATCGTTCGCATTCATAATGCAATGCAATATTTGTTAATTTGATTTGATTTCGATTTGATCTTGTTAAAAACTCACAAATAAGCAATTTAAATAATTATTCACAAGGGTTTTTTAAACAATATTTTCAAAATAAGAACTAGCGTATAACAATAGAGGAAGCACATAGGTTAAGAAGCACAACACAGAGTTTTATATTTATAAGCAGTTATGGTAATTGAAATAATGTTGACCAACATTCCGAGAATCTCTAAATAATATAAAGACAAGTAGGTATTTTTGTCTGTCTATCATACAGAAGAATTTCTTGCGGTATGTTTATATGTACATATTTACTAGCTGTACCTCTGGTTTCATACGCGAGAAATTTGTAGGCTGTGTTATTCTGATGTATAAACTATATTATTGCAAAATTTCATGAAATGCCATTCAGTAGTTTTTGCGTGACAGAGTAACAAACATCCATTCATCATCCATCACTCACAAACATATATATATATATATTTTTTTTTAATTTGAAGGAAGTTCTATTAACTTCCTTCTAATTTTTATTAAAAAGAGTAAGACGTTCATTTGTTTATCATAATGATAAATAGTATGTCCTTATTAAATTCAAAGTCAATGCAAGAATATTTCGTTTTAGCCAAAAGAGAAATTAATTTTTATGGGGCAAGTTATTATATCTATATAAGAGATGTAGGTATCATAACTTGCCCCTAGCTATATTTGTAATTATTGCCGGTACATATTACCAACAGATGTAATTATTTATTATTGTTATTTATCTAACTACTCAAATCATATTGGTCAACATTATTCCTACAAATTTTATTTCCTTTATTTCCATAATATCATATTTATTCATAATTTATAAATTATAATATTGTTTGTACAATGTTCAAAATGATTTTATAATATTGGTATATTTATTATTATTCCAAAATGAATTACATCAGCATGAATACTGACGAACCTAATAATAATAATAATACAATTAGGAAAAATATAATATAAATAATGAAAGTTCTTAAGAAATAGTCTGAATAAATTATATTTTTTTATACTATTTATTATTTTATGTATTGTTTATTGTTCTAAATTCAAATAAACATTTGTAAATCATTACTATTAATGATTTGTAAAATAAAAAGAGGTCAAAAGATATAATCGGAACTAAATTATATTTGTATTGTACTATTATATATATTTTGAATTAAGATTTGAATAAAAGTACGTAAGTCAGTACTTTTAATTGTTTAATTTCCCGATTTCGTGTATGTAGATATGTCAATTTGTATATTTATGCCGGTCGGGATAATGTACGTAACGTTTTTTCTAAATTAACCGTTACTTTGAGCCGCATTGTTATGCCCTAAGGGTTCTTGTTTATTCTAATTTTAATATTCTCTATAGCTTGAAAAGTTTGAGAAAAATGGATATACTTATGTATTTTTTAAAATAAACAAATTTTTGTCTTAGTTGGTACATTAGTGACATATATCACCATAATTATTAATTTATCAAAATTAATAAATAATGCTTAAAGTCGTTAAGACTCTAAGAAATAACAACATATTTACTTTTGCAATATAAGTAGATTTAGTAAGTATTTTTCGCTGATTTTACTATTTTCAATTATATTTTTGTATTTACCAAGTCACATTTTACCGTTTCGTAAACATTACAATACTTTTTATACTGAAAGGATATATTTAGTATCAATGTATGTACATTAATAAGATTATTTACTTTTTATTAAGTTATTGTTAATAGATACAAATTCGAAGAATCTCTAGAGCAAGATATCTAAGATAATAGTAGAAAAGTGTAAAAGTACCCTGGAAATCAATATTATCCTTTCGAAAACATTACAATTTAAAGCTTGAAGTATTCTTAGATAAAGTTGAAAATTGCTTAACAATGTAGCCTCATTTTATATTATAGTATGTTACTAAAAATAAATATTCAATTTTTGAGCATTTTGATTTTCTCTCTTGCTTGTAATGTCAACCATGATTACAAAAAGAAGTTGAATATTTTTCTGTATTTCGAAATTAAATATTTTATTTTAAATACATAAATCAAATTTTGAAAATTGAAAATACAAAGTTTGACAAATAAATAATGAAATACATAATATTTATAATTTAATTTATCGTTACACACGTTCTAGAACAATTTGAAATTTCAACTATGTTTTTAGTAGACCTATCTACGTACTTGCGGTCAATATGTACCTAATAGCAAAAACAGTATCATACGAATATAAATACATACTATATCCGATATATACGACTCAACGATACGAGCAGGGCACTGAGAGTACACTCCAGAGACTCGTTTCAGAAAATTAGCGGGCAAATCTGCATTCCGACACTTCAGAGGCCATACTCTGAATAATTATGTTATCACCATCTAATATCAACCATGTTTTCTATATAATAGAGTCGAAATCACAATTCGTCTATAAAATTTGGGATATTAATTTTAAGAAATTATATTCTAGACAGTTCATTAATTAAAATGTAACATAAAGCAACGGAGTATATTTTAAACTATTAAATTATCGCTTCTTGAGTACGGCGAAGTTTAGAAAATAATGTCAGTTATTGTTTATAGATATTACATGACATAACAATATGTAACATTCGTTTTATTGACTACTTGAATATATAGTATATTCTATTTCACACATACTTTTGTGGAATTAACAACTTATTTTCATTTAAAAAAATGCTATGTAAGTCTTCAAATATATAGCCAAAAGATACTACCTAAGCCTACAAAATATAAAAAAATAAACGTCTTTTAAATAACATAATGAAACACACATCTATATATGTTTTATGTTTCCTAATTCATAATCTAGCAGTGCTAAGCAACAACACAACGATTCTCGTGGGACCCCCCTCCACCACCGGCGGACGAATCAGGCATTGGTTCCGAAGTCTTCCCACCTCCGCTCCATTCTAGAGCATCTATCATTTCCATTAGCTCTTTAAACACAGCAATCACCCTCCAATTGTACTTCGCTGAACACTCGACATAACCGCACTTCCAATGCTTACGAACTAAATTCACTATATTACGACGTTTCTCTCTCGAGTCCCCGCAAGCGCTTTCAGCAATCGCCAGCTGCTGTAAGCCGCTAGCCGCAGACGGTGTATTACTACAGAGCAAGTCCTGTTTATTTCCGACAACTAGCACTGGAACATTTCTCATATCTCTACTTTCTACCATTTGATCTCTTAATGTTCTTATGTATTGAAAAGTCTCAACGTTGGACAAATCGAAGACTAGGATATAGGCCGTTGCGTTTCTCAGCCCGTAAAACCTATAATGCGCCCATTCGTAATAAGAGTTGATGGGAAAATATGGAATTACTGGAACGTCGGTAATCTTCACTTCATATAAATGTTCGTTGATGATCACCGAAGGATAGAATGTATGTTTGCGATCGGTCGGCACATATTCTTCTGAGAAATCGCTCCACACGAATTGCTGTAACAAATGAAAAGTAACGTAATTAAGTTTAAAATAAAACATAAATATAAACTTTAAACACTTTAAACTAATACTGTGGAAATATTTTTTGAAAATTTTAAATATGGATTACTAATTTAATTACATTGCAGTTCTTAGTTATATTTTATTTTTAATATTCGAAATTTGAAAAATATTATTATAAAACTGCTTTTTATTCGATAATAATTCGGATGTTATATCGGTACTGAATTATTTACATAGAGAAATAATTTAAAGTTTTGCAATCAAAAGCGTAGCTTCGTTATTCAAAATTGAAATGGAATATAAAAATATATTGATATGTTACTCGAATATTCTGCTTTTATTTTGAAATGTAAATTTCTACCAAAAAATTTCTTATTTCACATACTGAAAGTTTATTTTTAATCCCTGCTTTCTTCCTCTGAAACAATGCTTTAATTAAAATGACATTTTCGCCATCGGCACAGATTATACAACAACTGAACTTTAGGTCATTATTCATGGCTGTAATTTGTAACATGAATTAATGAAACCCGCCACTGAGTTCTGAGTTGACGGGTCTAAATTGAACAAATAATTCATAAACTAGTTGTTACTAATGACAATGTAACGTATGTGTGTATTATTCTGTGTGACGTGTTATAAACATAACATATATATCTATATATATTACTAACTGTGCCCGCGGTTTCATCGCGTGAAATTTATATCCTATTTGTTATTCTGATATATAAGCTATATCACTCTAAAGTTTCATCAAAATCTGTTTGGTAGGTTTTGCGTGAAAGAGTAACAAACATTCATCCATACTCACAATCTTTTGCGTTTATAATATTAATAATAAGATCTACAAAGTTACGATATTAGTACGTAGTAGTATGAACGTCATATTTTTTATTTAAATATATTTTTTCCATAGCGTCCAGTTTAATAAACAGATTCAATTGAGAACTGGCAAGAACTCAACTGTTTTTTTAATAGCCAGTTTTTTTTAATTGTGTACCTACTTATGGAGATGTCTTTCTTATGTACACCCATATAAAACTGGGGCAGATAGCTAGTTTCTAATAACTTTTCCATGATGCAGACATCCGGAAACGGAAGCAAGAAAATGAATAAATAGTTGAGTCAACTCAACATTTCGGCTAATTTACGTCTTTCGCGGCGACTGCTCGACTAATTACTGTAATTAAACTGAAATTAACATGCTCTTAATAGCTTTATCTGAAGCTAGATATCTAGCTACAGTTGATAATATTAAGACTAGCCTTAAAACTTAAAAATATTAAATGAGGATTTGAAAATACAATAGTTTAGGAGAACTTCAGTGCATACACGCGGACAGATTTTTGTTCTAGTGGTGACCGCGACTTCATACGCCTGTCCGTTTGTCGATCGCTATTTGACGATTCTCATCATTAAATAGAGATGATGAACAAAGATTTTATATAATGCTGTGTATTATTTGATAAACAAAACATTAATAGAAATATAGGTGGCGTATTAACATTGGTAAATCTTTTTTTACAAAATTAATTATTAGCCCAGTAGGGGGTTATTTTCCCATCTTCCTTTAGCATATATGTTGGAGATATCGTTAAAAAAAACATATTAAGTAATTTCGTTGTTACAGACAGTTTCCGCTTCGCCACAATTGTGATATGGGCACACCCCCTTCTGATGATCGCTGGCTCGATTCCTAGCATGATCCAACAATTCATCTGGGTTTTTCCTATGTTTATACTCTGCATGTATTTATAAACAAAACCGTACTTATGTGTGTTGATCAGTTGTTTAGTATCAATAACATAGGCTGCTTAGTTTGGGAGTAGATAACGCTGCGTGAATTGTCCTGGGTTATTATAATTATATACCTAACGGTAGACTTTATAATGTAACATAATATTTTGAGCCGACGCTAACGATCTGCCCGTCTGTATAAGATATGATATTACACTTCCAATTTGGAGTGACGCTCGGGTCGTGTTAGGCCCAGCCTAATTACATGCCTACCATGATAACCGTACTTTCAGCGACTTCAAACAGGATATAATGTGGGTGGAACTAAATTGCCAGCAATCCAATTATTTATACATATAAATAAGTATACAGGGCTATTCATATGCCAAGCCGGTACAGCTAGGGTTCTCGTGAAATTGGTCTTCCACTAAAAATAAGTAAATATAAAAATTACGATTAATAACAATAATATTGGTGGGTCACGTCAAAATGTTCCCTCTGAGAGTGCAATGATGGCTGGCTCATTCGTTATACTCGTGAACGGGTGCTGCTTGTGGGGACTGGTCTGTTCAGGTTTCGAACACTGATAAGACTATTTGCTTTTGACAAAATTGCTATAGCGTATGCTGTCAGTTACTCTGTTCTCCCAAATTTGAATTAAAAAATAAATCTGTGTTATTGTACCCATGTACAGCCATATTTGAAAATAATACGAGCTGAGTATCTTGTCAGTTCTTCTCATCTCGAAAGCATTCCAAACTGGCCGTAGATTTGACATATCATAAGAGTCTGTAATAGACGTACATGAATAAAAATATTTTGATTTGATTTGATTTACATTTTAAAATGTTTTGTACTAAATGTACTACGTAATTTAACCTAGGTAGATATTTTACGTAGTCTTCTGTGTGGGCACCTCAGTCTATTTGTATAATGATGTATGTATATGTATTAAATGTTTATCTGTTCGGTGAGTCTAGTTTACTATGCTTTAGTCATGTAATATTGTCATTTTCTAACTGCGACCTAAGTATATAAATAGTCTTATATACAATTCTACCCGAAAAGTACATATATAGAATAAAGGTGCCGAAACGTAGCAATAGAACCTCAATTATTACTGCATAAATCTACCTTCCTACACATATATCAATCTATTCTCGCCACTTACGAGTACATTTACTGAAAGGAGTCTCATTATTTTTTACCAACATGGCAACCCCATTGTGAATAAAGGGGTCATTAGTCCTCATTATATCCTCTTTGTCTCGGTTAATTTATGGCTACAATTTAATTTACCCGAGCTCATTGTAAGCGATGAAAGAAATACGCTTCCTTGTAATTTACATTGGGTTGTAAAGGTTATTTTGTAACGAGCTGACACCTTCATAATAAGGGACCTTCATATTAGTCGCCACGGGATGCTACTAATATACAATGTCAGAGGTCACAGTTTTATATATTGTCTAGTTTTCTTTTTTTTGTTGTTGATTACACATATAATTTTTATTTATTTTAGAGATAAACTAAACTGATTGGCTACTAAAATATGTAGCTAAACCCCCATGTAGACTACACTGCAAAAAGTTCACTTGGGTAAAAATTGGATACTAATATAGCTAAGACAGAGGATCCCCATGAAGAAAATGCTGCAAAAAGTTCAGGGGGCGTATTATGAACTCTTTAAAATCGAGTCAGTTTCCAGGCAGTTCAGTTTACGGCCTTAAACTGAATTGTTCTTTTTCGTATTATGAGGGTCCAAATTCAAACCGTATTCTGCCTGGATAGTTTGTCTCTGGCTGGTTAGTGGATTTTCTCGCGCTGCGTTCGGATACGCATACATTCGTTGCAACGTTAAGTTGAGTTTTTGTGTGTCACTTTTTGGACAAAATATTAATTAAATAAATGTAAATTAAATATAGAAAACAGTAATTAAGATACAATGGTAGAATTTGTGTAATATACAAAAATATTCCAGACAGTTTTATTGTCTTTTTTAATAATTCGGATTTATTTGTAAAAAATATTTTCATTGTAATATCCAAACGAACTTTGTGCATCTACTTAAAATTCCGCGCAAAGTACTTAATTCTGATTTTAATGTACAATTTGAAACTTAGCCTTTCCATGACTTTATACGCAAGTTAAATTTAATAATTCAATTATTGTGAAAAATATACCTAATGTAACGTAAGTATTCCTAACATTTTCTTAGTAATGTTTTTTTAAAATGATGCAAATATTTAACTGTTTCTATTTGTATATTTATCTAACTAAATTGTAGATCACGGACTGAAACCCCTGGCCAACGTCGTGTATCGTACCGGTAATTTAAAATTATATGGGATTTTTAAAATCCCATAGGGAAATGGCAAGTGGCTTTAATAAGTCCGCCCAAGAATACCATACCAATCGCTTGTGTGAGGACGTCGCTCAACAATTAAACTCCTTAGGAAAAGGGGGTTTTAAAGACTGGAAAGGATTGTCAAGTTTAAGTGTTATAAGGTAACCATCTGAATTTTAATTTATTTCATTTAATAGGAATCTCAGTAAAATCTGAAATACATGTATCTATGCAAATAAATTGAAGTATCTGTTTGTAATTTTGAAGTTCACCAGTTACAACAGCTTTTCAGTAAATGCATACCTATATAAGGTAAGATAAATGACATAAAAAAAAAATATATATTTGTCTGTCCGTTTGTTAGTTCTTGCTAATCTTTGAAACAGCTGGACCAAATTTGAGGGATACTTTCACTGTCATATGTAATGAGTTGTGTAAAGGAGTAACAAGTTGCTTTTATTTGAGATATTTTATTTATTTTAACAAAAACTAGGTATGCCATATGGACAAAGTCATAGGTAATAACTAGTATATAATAAAATTATCATATCCCTTTAATGATAACTACCAATAAAAGACATAAATAATGTACCTATATCATTTATTATAAAAACAAATAATTAAAACATTGACCTATTAACAATATTATTATTTATAAATGTTTCAATTTCTTAGTTCCACAACTAAACAACATGGGTTTGTCTAGCAGCTAGACCTTCATTTAGTTCTCTATAAGAGTTCAAAGTACATGTAGGCATCTAAATCTAGAAGCCCAATTGTGCTCTCAATGATATTCCATGTTCTGTGTCATATGCTTCTTGTGGTCCTGGTATATAGCATTTGAGATGGGAGTATACTTCTCTAAAGCATATCCTGGAACCCTTAAAAAAAACAACATATTATATACTATAATATTAATATTTATTTACAAAAAGTATTATTTCATTAAAAACACAGCACAATAACTGTTGTTGCTGATAAATAACTACGTTTCTAAATTACTGAAGTTTAGAGCTTAGATGTAATGATGTTTGTAGTTTCATAATAAAATTTTGTGTTTACCAAGTAATCATAAGGATTTATTCCAGCTTAAGTCCTCTAGATGTTGCTTAATGCCTCTGGTTTGCCCAAATGTCATGAGTAGCTCCAGTTCCAGTTGGCATCCACACTCATAATGTCCATGTCAGCATTACTAACCTAAATTTTTTTTCCAGATTAATTACATAGTTGAAGATTATTTGAAACATAAGAGAATAATTAATGGATAAATATTATTTGAAACATATGTCTAAGTGTTATGGTCATTTAATATTTAAGTAAACAATTTATTGTTAGTATATAAGTAGCTTTAGAGATGTACATATAATCATTAACATATTTTGCATGTCTAAATTCTTGTTTATTGTTAATTTATATAATTATATTAAAAAAAGATATTAAAAGTGCTTATATTATTAAACATGTCTTTTAATTTATATTTCACTTACCAATTATATATTTAATTAATGGTATTGTTTTCTACAGTAATATCTCTTCTTAATTTACAATGGGGTGGCATGTGTACAGTCAAATACAGCCCAATACACCCAGCATTCCAAATTCCAATTATAAAACCTAAAATATAATTAATTTAATTTAATTAATTGTCCTCGGAGGAAAGTGCCAGAGAGACTGCACATCATCAGACTGTTGCATACTTGCTTTCTAGGCTTTACTTGTATGCATACATTTTACCATATATATTATTACTATATCATATGGTATGGTACATGGCACTCATAAATGTATTTGCAACAATAACAGTTGCTAATTGTATAGAAATAGATAACTTTGAATATTTATTATCTATCCTTTACTCAGATGTCTTTGGAATTTTATATATGTATTTACTTTTGTATGTTGGGTAAATGCAATAAATCGGTTATTTGCCATTGGCTGTGCTAGCGAATGAACAGCAATATCACTAGTAGGCCGTTGATACGAGCCTGCAGCATAAATAATAATGTTACTAAAACCTGACATAGTCAGCTAGTGATTTAGTGAAATAATTACAATACAATATACCTTAGTTTCCACTGGTAGGTCTGTAAATTTCGATGATACCGGCATATGAGTTCGCACGCATATTACGCACCAAATCTTTATTTAGATTATAACGTTTTCTAAAATTGTTCATTGTCTATATAAATTGGATTGGATTGGTCGCGTAATCGCCGTCTTTTCACTTTCCTTACTTCTTTTTCGTAGGGTGCACACATTTCCAAAAACTCCAATACTTCGAGTTCATCACACATAATTAAAATTAAAACGAAACAAAAACAATCGAAATAACTGCACAAACATGTTATAAACATAATAAAAACTGACATAGAAATAGAAATAATAACCAAATTACAATAATGAAGCTATAAATTAGAAAACAATTCTATAAAAGCTAATATGAAGCCACCGTAATCTGAATTGTTTTTAAACGGTCTTTTTGACAGTTGCGTCCGCTTAGATCTGTCAAATGAAACGCTCATAATACGAAATAGCCGGTCAGTTTTCGGGCAGAAGACGTTCAGCTGTCACGTGACCGCTGACTGGCTGGCTAATAGCGTTCGTAATACGAAATCGCCAGGCAGTTCAGTTTAAGCCGTAAACTGAATGGGAATAAGAGTTCATAATACGGCCCCAGTTCGGTAAAAATTCGTTACTAAAATAGCTAAGTCAGAGTAGCCATGCAGACTACGCTGCAAAAAGTTCAGTTCGGTAAAAATTGCCTACTAAAATAGCTAAGACAGAGAACCCCCATGCAGACTACGCTGCAAAAAGTTCACTTTGATAAAAATTGCTTACTAAAATAGCTAAGATAGAGAAGCCCCATGCAGACTACGCTGCAAAAAGTTCACTTTGGTAAAAATTGCCTACTAAAATAGCTAAGACAGAGAACCCCCATGCAGACTACGCTGCAAAAAGTTCACTTTGATAAAAATTGCTTACTAAAATAGCTAAGATAGAGAAGCCCCATGCAGACAAAGCTGCAAAAAGTTCGCTTTGGTAAAAAATTGCTTACTAAAATAGCTAAGACAGAGAACCCCCATGCAGATAACGCTGTAAAAAGTTCACTTTGGTAAAAATTGCCTACTAAGATAGCTAAGACAGAGAACCCCCATGCAGACAACGCAGCAAAAAGTTCATATCGGTAAAAATTGGCTACTAAAATAGCTAAGACAAAGGAGCCATATGTACAACATTCTCTTCAGCAAAAACATGCACAGAAAATAGTTTTATACTATTAAACACGTGTTGTTAAAACTATAAAGGACCTATATACGGTACATTAGGTAATAAATGAAGCATTCAAAATAAACCAGGCCACTTTCCGGCTTATTTGCACATTTACGAAGGTTGCAAGTTGCCAGACTTTAATTATAATTGGCTCTTCGGGGAGGTAGCGCTTTCAGCTTCGTAGGAACACTTCGTTTCACATGCAACTAGCCTTTACTATACTAGCCTTGAGTGTATTATAGAAGGAAATGAAACTAATTTTTCCTTCAATAAGTGCTGTACTTTTATTATATAGATATTTTTTTCTTTCATTTTTATTTTTATATGTGAGTTACAGGATAAGGGGCATGATTCTTCATATTAACTATCGAAAGTGCTTTTCATGTAAACATGTGATAGTAACCACATACCATCAGGTGGACCGCTAAATTCATATCCAATTGCATACAAAAACGTTTAATTATGATGATCCACAATATTGACAATCTAATAATGTATGTAGATTATCATCATGAGCTGTCAGCTTATTTGTTATTCTAACTACATTAAAAAAGATTAAAATAGCTATAAAGTTAAGTTGAAATTTATACAGAATTCAAACTTTTGTAGAATTTTATTGTCAATGTATAATTGTATTAAATTAAGTAGGTAAGTCTGTCTCTATATTACCTCTATATTTGTAATTCTATGTTTAATTTAAGCCACACATCAATAAACTAGATGGTCGATGAAGCTGCAATAATGTACTGCATATTAATCCTACATACAATATAGCACTATGTTTGAACATCAATCAACAACTTTATTATAGGAGGTCGAGCATAAAATTGATTGCTCGATAACTAAACCTCTCCAATTTTACTATGAAGATGACCAAATTTGGGTAACGACATGCCAATAGGATTGTTTTCTATATGTATATACTGTAATGCATAAAATAAAAAAGATTGCTTCCAGCAATAAGGCCGCTTTATTATAATTGCACGTTATTTATATTGTTTATATTATTTTTTACTGTATGTTGCAAATAAAGTATATTTTATCTATATATCTAAAATGTACAAATATAGTATAATAGTATAAGTGTTGTTAATGCCTTTCTTTCTCTTTTTCAAATGAGAATTTTTAATTTTTTTTATATAACTAGAAACATACGTTGTCATTCTGATGAATTAAGATGTTTTACTTACATACATTCCCTGTAATACCTTGTTTTGTAAGATGTGTCGGTACACACTGAAATAGGTGAGACTGAAGACAATCAAATCGAATCAAAATATCTTTATTCTGTGATTGACGTATGCAGGGCAAATTGACTACTCCAGAGTTTGGATACAGACTATATAGTGTTTATATAGGATTGGTGTTCTTAACGACGACTCACGACTTCGGCAATGGCGCTCGTAGGTACAACGTGTAGTTTTTTAGTACATAAGAAGCCAACACACGCCCTCGTCACCCTTCTGGTGAAGATTTTTCCACACGAGAAAAATGGAGTTTGGTATACGATACCCACAAATCATCTTTTGTACGGTTTATTATAGACCTACCGTTAGCTAGTAAAATAGTTGGAACCGAGAATGACTGAAAAAACAACTGCCCTCACTCTCTCTTTGAAAAATAGGTTCAGGCTGAATATAGTAACCATTATTAATCTACATTTATTTTCATTAAATAAAGATCGTTCACGAAGACTACGTTGTACAAAGTTTACCTCGGTTATGTAACGACTGTACTAAGGCTGTAAAAATACGCTGTAAATAATGGAAGCAATTGCTGGTAAACCTAAATAAATTTCATCTATAGTCCTACAAAGCTGTGTCACTTTTTGTCTGTTCCTTTTCTAACTTCTAAACCACGAAACTGTTTTGTTATAGGTTTAAGTATAATTGCCAGAATTTCATCAGGAAGGTTTACGAACAAGTAAATGAAATTAAAGAGTCTGATTGTAATTTTAAATTACCAGCTTTACGCTAAATATATATAAAAGTATATTCGGTAATTACTGTCGACTTCTTGCAAATATCGGAAACGGCTGGATGGATTTTATCGAGACTTACTCGCACATACTAATGTTACGGAGTAACTTAGACTACTTTTACTTTAGAAATTTTATTTATTTTAGTTCCTAACAAACGAATTTTCGGGTGATGAAATGCTGTTTAGAATTACATTTTTAAGAATATTGGGTGAAAATGCATAGTATAATGTAATGAACATATAAGGTGTAAGGTACAGGTAAGGTGTGTAATGCAAGTAAACCCATCTAAATATATATAACTCAAAGGTGACTGACGTAGTGATCTATCAACGCACAGCCCAAAACACTAGACGGTTCGGGCTGAAATATGGCATGCAGATAGATGTTATGACGTAGGCATCTGCTAAGAAAGGATTTTGATTAATTCTACTCGCAACAGGATAAAATATGGCATGAAAGTTTGTATGAAGCTTTGTCAATTTTAAACCGATCGGGCTGAGACTTTGCATGTATAAAGCTACTATGACGTAGGCATCCCCTAAGAAACGATACGATTTGATAAATTCCACCCCTAAGGAGATAAATTAACGCGAGAGAAGCCGCGGGCAAAATCTGGTATAGTATAAATATAATACCTATATAATATATATCCAGTTTAAGTCTTAGCTGCTGTTCTGGAACTAGTTGCAACTATGTAACTAGTACTTTACCATTTTCTACTTTATTATATGTATAAACATGTCAGACTCAGTGTGTAACATTGTTGCCACACATCGTTACCTCTATGTCTTGCTTCTAGGTGTGCGAAATCTTCACACACCTAGAACAATACTGATTAACTCAAATTTTAGAAATTGTACTTCAAAACTAAAACTTTAAGGTGGATTTTTCAAAATTTGTAATAATTTGTGTTACTAAACTATTGTACTAGATGCACGATATATTTTATCGAGTAGAGTATTGCAAGTGAGTTGCGAGCCTTTTAACGGAGGCATAAATTCTTTTCCTGAAGGTTTTAATAGCGTATCGGTTTGGAAATACAACTTTGCTGGAAGGTGACTTCACAATTTCGTTGTGGGTGGCAAAAGTTTCTGGAAACCTAATAGTGGAAGTTCGTCATTCATCCATTGTAATCAGGATAGTATGTGGCATGTTTAATGTCTCTTTACATAGTGAATTATATGTGCGTGTTGCTATTATTTACATATTATCAAGCATATATACGTTATTATTATCAAATCTAAATACATATAATTCAAAGGTGACTGACTGACATAGTGATCTATCAACGCACAGCCCAAACCCCTGGACGGATCGGGCTGAAATTTGGCATGTAGGTAGATGTTATGACGTAGGCATTCGCTAAGAAAGGATTTTGATAAATTCTACTCCCAAGCGGATAAAATAGGGGATGAAAGCTTGTATGAAACTTTGTCAATTCGAAATCGATCGGGCTGAAACTTTGCATGCATTAAGCTACTATGACGCAGGCATCCCCTAAGAATTTATATAAATTCAATTTTGATATTTTTTTTTTATTTTGAACGATTTTGATAAATTCCACCCCTAAGGGGATAAAATAGGGGATGAAAGTTTGTATAAATCTTCTTAGATTTTCGACTGATTGAAATGAAATTAAAGATTGGAGCTACTATGATGAAGACCTTCGTATAAATTGGATTTAGATAAATTCAACCCCCATGGGGATAAAATAAGGGATTATGCAGGATGTAAATATTAGTTTGAACCTATCAGTAACTAATGGAATGAATAAATTAAGACGAAGAAAATAATTTTTAGTTCTTTAGGCTAATTTTATTTTACAAAAATTAAGTTATATTCCACGAGGACGAAGTCGTGGAAACATCTAGTAACAGATAAATGTTCTTATGCTGTATCTTGACCAGGGTTGCGTAGTACCTAAAGTCGTAGCGTCTACGGTATTGCTGGCTGTTTACCATCATTCGGAAAGTTTGGTTATAAAAAAATAAATACCTGAATAATACTTGTTTTCCCGACTGCTGGCGCTCCCAAGAGCACGACTTTGATGAGATCGAGGCTGTCAGGACTGGGCTCCACACTGGGAGCCCCGCCCACCGTCAGGGTACCGCCTCCACCGCGCTCCAAGTAGTCCAGATCCAATTCTGTAACAAAACAAATCTTTTTTATATACCACAGTGATGGCAATCAGGAATCAGGTCCATCTGATGATAGATAGTTACTGTAGCCTATGGACGCCTGAAATATCACGGATTTTTTAAAACTATTCTGAAGCTGTTGACCGCAGCTGACCTTTACAGCTTCAATAAACGACATCCCTAACGTTGCGAATGCAGTTGTGTACTATAACTATTATAATGAAGTATAGTAATTGTACGACAAAGACAGTGTTCGATATGCTCAGTTTTTAAATATTGAAAAATGGCTTGATAATGATGGCGACTCACCGAATTATTTCACCACCTGGTGCATGTCCCGGGACTCGTATTTATACACACACTAACACTGTCTGATGTTATTGAATAGTTTACACAGTGTAGTCCTTAGTTTTGTTCAATTTAATTTGCTATTTGAATTGAGACAAAGCACTCGCAGCCGCGTTCTCGATCTTGATGTTCAAGCGACAGTGACCGGTTTATTAAACTCCCAACGTTTGTTCGAGTACAGGTGGGCGGGAGTTTTAAAAATCAAGCCATTATTACAAAACCCAAGAGACAGGCAGGCACTTTCACACGAAGTGACCGGTTTATTCTAGAAGATAATTACGTTCCAATGATATTGATAAACGCCGTTACATATATAGTTATTTATTTAGCCTTAATTATGAGAACCTGAACCCATAGCGGTGCCCGTAAACTAAATTCATATCCGCCAGGCAGAAAATGCCCTTCAGCCACTTCACTTTCACAAGTCCTTCCAGCTTTGAAGTGCCTTGTAAAGTCGCCTACATTTTTGTGCGGTGAAGATGTAAAGGCTAGCTGCGTCCAACAGCATTAGAATATTGAAAAATACTGTGCTATGAAGTCTTTCTTTTAAATTGGGTTCAATAGATAGAACTAACAGTTGTTACAGCGCAAATTAAACGTAATTCGAATTACAAAAAGAATACTGTTTTCCGTAAATTAATTGTTTAAGCCGCCAGAAGCTCGGGTTTCTCTAGAATCTTTCAATGGATTGTCATTAATCAGGATTAATGGAAGGGCTATAATCGAAAAGTATCTTCGTCAATTCATCAAGATTAATAGATCGTCATTGTCTATCGTGCTTGGATAATTTCAAAAGGCCGTTTAAAAGAAACCATCTTCATTAGGGATCAATATAATTTGTAAATCCTTTGAAAAACTTGATTTAGGAATAGAGTCCATTTTTCATTAATATTGCTTATATTTAAGTGATATAGAACTATAAGAATGATGAAATGAAAGAAAAAAATGGTTTTATGTCAGCTTTGTTTCCATCTGAAATGTGGCAAGGAAATTTCTAATTTTAATAGTTTATTTTCAATTTTACAAGATGCTTTACTGTTTTATTATAATAAATACTACGTCTTTCATTCTTGTATATTTCTAGAATATCTTTCAGGAGTTTCTGATCCTATTCCTAGAAAATGTTAATAACTTTAAATAGGTATAATATCAACTTGTAGGTTATTTATTTTTAGGTGAAATATTTTCGTTATAACAAAAAAATATTCATTGTAAGCCTTCATTTAAATTATATATTTTTTACAAAAAAAATAAGTTATTTCGTAGTAAAGAAGATTGCATGAATAAAATAATATAAAAATACATATTATGAGGATCTAAGAGCACAGGTTTGTGTTAATGATTGATTGATTGATGCCTAATGCCTGAGGAGGGGTTTCATTAAATCCGTCTGGGTGGAATGCTACCTCAACACTGATATTATTGCTAGAGAACTGTATAATGAGATGAAACTGCATGTACCAGCAAGTAGATAGTGCACAGTGAACAGACATGTGCGGTGGTATGAACACATATACTAATATACGTATATCTATTCATATTTATAAGTAGTAATATTTGCAATAAAAGCAAGAATCGCAATTTGAATAATATTTGTAATTGCAATACCATTACGGTTTTTACTTTAATTGTGAACTAGAATACATTTTGCCACATGTTTCACTAAAAATTTCATGTAACAAGTCAGTCACATAAGTTCTTGGTAAAATACTAAAAAACAAGATTTTCTTTAGGAAAATCTTATTACCCTATATATAGTTGGAAAGTACAATTGAATTTAATTGTGAACTAGAATATATTTTCTTACATGTTTCACTAAAAATTACACATAACAACTCATCAACATAACTTTCTTGGTAGAGTACCAAAACCATTCGATTTTCTTTAAGAAAACCTTACTTCATTCGTACTATTCGTCGTTTTTCTCACACACAACAAGTCATCTATATATATATTATTGAAAGAATAACAAAAAAAATAAAAAATTCTTTTGGAAAATTTTACTCCCTATATAGGTCGTAAGTACGAATGAACTACATAAGTGATTTAATTACAGTACGCAAGAAACAGAAGGGAGAAATAGTCAGGAAAGCCATTAGTATCACAGACGTCGCTTAATTTCCTGGATTACTCGCTACTTAATAAAATTTACAATAAAAGGAACACAGCTCTGATTGTTAGGAGATTTTATAGGTGTGATATATTTTATCTTGTTTAGAGGAAATAAAATAAAAGTAGTATGACTTCATTAAGTGATATAACTTATATACTACTAGTTTTATTTTATTTATCTGAGGTAACATTTTATGTACACTATACTCAATTTAAGGTACAATTTTGATAAGTTATTATAAGACTGTCGTTGCCTAATGATTTACTATACCGATTTATACCCAAGAAGCTGTAAGATCTTTTTTTTAAATCTTCAAAAGACTCTCACCCTGCCGTAAGGATGTCGGGGTGATATGTGGAATTTTTACCCACTAAAAATCACACGATGTACCTGCAAGCGCCTATGTACTTTCGCATGTGCATTCCACCCCGGCTCCGAATAAAAATTGTAAGATCTGTTATTTAATGAATATGTGTTACTTTGTTTAATTCTGTTACAACTGGGATCTATGAGATCACAAATATAGAGTTTCAAACTGACTCTCCGGTGTAGGAAATAGCAATATCAAATCAAGAATTAATCCGAGAGAGGCTAGTAGTCTCTACCAGCCATGTTGGATTCAAATATATCTACCGAAATGTGGCGTTCGCCACGACGCGGCGACGTCGACAGTTACCAAAACTTTTAACAGGGATGGCAGTCATGATTTGTACATTTTTAGTTTATATTATAAGTTGCTTCTCATATATTATTAGATTATGTAAACGTTTAAACAGATTTGAATGAAAGTTGCAACATTTTTTTTTCTGACTACTTCAATTCTATTTGGCAATGAGAGCAGATGGCACTCCAAACCAGCGGAAGGTCTTTTGGAGCGGTTGAAGGCCAACTCGCACCTTACGACTTTAGTCTGAGAACACTGCTAGGGGTACAAACCTAAGTTCACGCCGTCGTAATTTCGATCTCCTTTTGAATTGGATGGGTGATCGAGAAAGTTGCAAAGTAAAAATTGACATGTATACTAATATTATAAAGAGAGACAGCTGATTTTGTTAGGTTAAAAGTAAATTATTACATATATCAATATTTTATATTATATTATATATATCAATATTTATTATATTGATATATATATCCATAATGATAACAGCACCCAGGCTTTGCTGGAACGGGCTTCTAGTACAGTAAATTTTTATACCAATGCTGGGAAATTTTAATAATACTCGCAAAGAATGAGTTAATTATTCTCCACTTCATTAATGCTTTCTGATATAATTAGTTCATAAATTTAAAACGCTGACTCTTATCTGAAACTTTACAAAAATTTTACAAGTAATGTCACCTTTACGAATTGTCTACAAAATTTTCACATGTAGAAAGACCAAGTAAGCCTCGGGATTTAGCGCTTACAAAGGAATTAACTGATACGTTGCATACCAGAATTTAGCAGCTTGAAATTTTATAAAGAGGTTGCTTATCTAACATATTTTGGTAAGAAAAGGTCAGTCAGCTTTATATATAGACGACCTCGGTGGTCTAGCATACCGCTTTACGACCGATGGCCGCGGGTTCGATTCCTCGCGCTTGTATTCATGAGTATGATTATTTGTATCGGTCTGGGTGTTTTCTATGTATAATATGTATGTATTTACACAAAAAAAATATCTATGTATTTGTATCAGTTATCTAGTACCCATAACACAAGCTTTAGCTAGCTTAACTTGGGTCTAGATGGTGCTGTGTGAATTGTCCTGAGATTATTATTATTATATAGACGGCCTCGGTGGTCTAGTGGTAAGCCACTAGATCTCCGAGGCTGTCGCACTCCGCTTTCTTTCCGATGGTTGCGGGTTCGATTCTTCGCACGGTACCAATATTTGTATTCATGAGTATGATTGTTTGTATAGGCCTGAGTGTTTCTATGTATTTAAAAAAAACAGCTATGTATTTTCTATGTATACTAGTTAACAGTTGTCTAGTACCCATAACACAAGTTCTGCTTAGCTTGGAACTAGATAAAGCTGTGTGAATTGTCCAGGGATAAGAAAAATCGTAATAATGCTATTTAGTGTTATACCTATCACATAATGTAGTATAGTAGATCAGCAGGTCTACTCTAAAAGGTCTTCCTATATTGATTTCAATTAAAACCATTAGTGTAACTTGGTTTTGAAACAATAAATCGAATACTTTAGAGTTATTCATTCAATTATTAAGAAATTTGAAATTTATACATTGTTAATGATTCGAAATAAAGAAAATATGCGAAACGGCATATTATAAAGTGGATCAATCAAAATCTTAATTTTGGCAAGTACATTAATATAAAAAATATTCTACGTGCTAGTTATTTTTAAAATTTCGTGTTTAATATTTATTATTTATATTATTACCCGGGTCTTAATACGAATAATTTTTAAAAATAATATATTATTCGTGTTAGACCCGGGTAATAATATAAATAAAATGTATTCTACGTGATATTATTAATTTACAAGTTTTTATTATTCAATTTGGGATATATTATTTTACATTAATAAGTTTA